GTGTAACCAAAGTATAACCAAAAAATAGTAAAAGTGTAGTCAAAGTGTAAACAAACTGTAAACAAAGTGTAACCAAAGTGTAGTCAAAGTGTAACCTAAGTGTAACCAAAGTGTAACCAAAGTGTATCCAAAGTGTAACCAAAGTGTAACCAAAGTGTAACCAAAGTGTAGTCAACGTGTAACCAAAGTGTAACCAAAGTGTAACCAAAGTGTAACCAAAGTGTAGTCAACGTGTAATCAAAGTGTAACCAAAGTGTAACCAAAATATAGTAAAAGTTTAGTCAAAGTGTAACCAAAGTGTAACCAAAGTGTAACCAAAAAATAACCAAAGTGTAAACAAAGTGTAACCAAAGTGTAACCAAAGTGTAGTCAAAGTGTAACCAAAGTGTTACCAAAGTTTAACCAAACTGTAACCAAAGTGTAACCAAAGTGTGACTAAAATGTATTTAAAGTGTAACCAAAGTGTAACCAAAGTGTAGTCAAAGTGTATCCAAAGCAAAGTCCAAGTGTAACCAAAGTATTGTCAAAATGTAACCAAAGTGTAGTCAAAGTGTATCCAAAGTGTAAACAAAGTTTAGTAAAAGTATAACCAAAGTGTAACCAAAGTGTAACCAAAGTGTAGTCAACGTGTAACCAAAGTGTAACCAAAGTGTAACCAAATAGTAACCAAAGTGTAACTAAATTGTAACCAAAGAGTTACCAAAGTGTAACCAAAGTGTAACCTAAGTGTAACTAAATTGTAACCAAAGTGTAAACAAAGTGTAGTCAACGTGTAAACAAAGTGTTACCAAAGTGTAACCAAAATGTAACCAAACTGTAACCAAAGTGTAACCAAAATGTATTAAAAGTGTAGTCAAAGTGTAACTAAAGTTAAATCAAAGTGTAACCAAAGAGTAACCAAAGTGTAGTCAAAGTGTAACCTAAGTGTAACCAAAGTGTAACCAAAGTGTAACCAAAGTGTAACCAAAGTGTATTCAACGTGTAACCAAAATGTTACCAAAGTTTAACAAAATTGTTACCAAACTGTAACCAAAATGTGACTAAAGTGTAGTAAAGGTTTAACTGAAGTGTAACCAAAGTGTAGTCAAAATATAACCAAAGTGTAGTCAAAGTGTAGCCAAAGTGTTGTCAAAGTGTAACCAAAGTGTAACCAAAGTGTAACCAAAGTGTAGTCAAAGTGTATTTAAGTGTAACCAAAGTGTTACCAAAGTGTAGTCATAGTGTAACGAAAGTGTAGTCAAAGTGTAACAAAAGTGTAGTCAAAGTGTAACCAAAGTTTAACCGAAGTGTTACCAAAATGTAACTAAAGTTAAGTCAAAGTGTAACCAAAGTGTAGTCAAAGTGTAACCAAAGTGTAGTCCAAGTGTAACCAAAGTGTAGTCAAATTGTAATCAAAGTGTAGTCAAAGTGTAACTAAAGTGTAAACAAAGTGTAACCAAAGTGTAAACAAAGTTTAGTAAAAGTGTAACCAAAGTGTAACCAAAGTGTAACCAAAGTGTAGTCAACGTGTAACCAAAGTGTAACCTAAGTGTAACCAAATTGTAACCAAACTGTAACCAAAGTGTAACCAAAATGTATTAAAAGTGTAGTCAACGTGTAACCAAAGTGAAACCAAAGTGTAACAAAAGAGTAACCAAAGTGTAGTCAAAGTATAACCAAAGTGTAAACAAAGTGTAACCAAAGTGTAGTCAAAGTGTAACCTAAGTGTAACCAAAGTGTAACCAAAGTGTAACCAAAGTGTATCCAAAGTGTAACCAAAGTGTAACCAAAGTGTAACCAAAGTGTAGTCAACGTGTAACCAAAGTGTTACCAAAGTTTAACCAAAATGTAACCAAACTGTAACCAAAATGTGACTAAAGTGTAGTAAAGGTGTAACTAAAGTTTAACCAAAGTGTAGTCAAAATATAACCAAAGTGTAGTCAAAGTGTAGTCAAAGTGTAGCCAAAGTGTTGTCAAAGTGTAACCAAAGTGTAACCAAAGTGTAGTCAAAGTGTATTTAAGTGTAACCAAAGTGTTACCAAAGTGTAGTCAAAGTGTATCGAAAGTGTAGTCAACGTGTAACAAAAGTGTAGTCAAAGTGTAACCAAAGTTTAACCGAAGTGTTACCAAAATGTAACTAAATTTAAGTCAAAGTGTAACCAAAGTGTAGTCACAGTGTAACCAAAGTGTAGTCCAAGTGTAACCAAAGTGTAGTCAAAGTGTAATCAAAGTTTAGTCAAAGTGTAACTAAAGTGTAAACAAAGTGTAACCAAAGTGTAAACAAAGTATAACCAAAGTGTAACCGAAGTGTTACCAAAGTGTAACCAAAGTGTAGTCAATGTGTATCCAAATTGTAACCAAACTGTAACCAAAGTGTATTTAAAGTGTAGTCAAAGTGTAACAAAAGTGTAACCAAAGTGTGATCAAAGTGTAGTCAAAGTGTAACCAAAGTGTAACCATAGTGTAGTCAAAGTGTAACCAAAGTGTAACCAAAGTGTAACCAAAGTGTAACCAAAGTGTAACCAAAGTGTAACCAAAGTGTAACCAAAGTGTAACCAAAGTGTAGTCAAATTTTAACCAATGTGTAACCAATGTGTAATCAAAGTAAACTAAAACGTAACCATAATGTATTTAAAGTGTAACCAAAGTGTAGTCAAAGCGTAATGAAAGTGTAGTCAAGGTGTAGTCAAAATGTAACCTAAGTGTAACCAAATTAGAGTCAAAGTGTAGTCAAAGTATATCCAAAGTGTAACCAAAGTGTAGTCAAAGTGTAGTCAATGTGTATCCAAATTGTAACCAAACTGTAACCAAAGTGTAACTAAAGTGTAGTCAAAGTGTAACAAAAGTGTAACCAAAGTGTAATCAAAGTGTAGTCAAAGTGTAACCAAAGTGTAACCATAGTGTAGTCAAAGTGTAACCAAAGTGTAACTAAAGTGTAACCAAAGTGTAACCAAAGTGTAACCAAAGTGTAACCAAGGTGTAACAAAAGTGTAGTCAAATTTTAACCAATGTGTAACCAATGTGTAATCAAAGTAAACTAAAACGTAACCATAATGTATTTAAAGTGTAACCAAAGTGTAGTCAAAGCGTAATGAAAGTGTAGTCAAGGTGTAGTCAAAATGTAACCTAAGTGTAACCAAATTAGAGTCAAAGTGTAGTCAAAGTATATCCAAAGTGTAACCAAAGTGTAGTCAAAGTGTAGTCAAAGTGTAACCAAAGTGTAGTCAACGTGTAACCAAAAAGTAATCAAAGTGTAACCAAAGTGTAACCAAAATGTAGTAAAAGTATAGTCAAAGTGTAACCAATGTGTAACCAAAGAGTAACCAAAGTGTAGTAAAAGTATAACCAAAGTGTAAACAAAGTGTAACCAAAGTGTAACCAAAGTGTAGTAAAAGTGTAACCCAAGTGTAACCAATGTGTAACCAAAGTGTAACCAACGTGTAATTAAAGGGTAACAAAGTGTAGTCAAAGTGTAGTTAAAATGTAACCAAAGTGTAACCAAAGTGTAGTCAAAGTGTAACCAAAGTGTAACCAAAGCGTATCCAAAGTGTAACCAAATTGTAACCAAAGTGTAACCAAAGTGTAATCAAAGTGTAGTCAAAGTGTAATCAAAGTGTAACCAAAGTGTAGTCAAAGTGTAACCAAAGTGTATTTAAAGTGTAACCAAAGTGTAACCAAAATGTAACCAAAGTGGAGTCAAAGTGTCGTCAAAGTGTAACCAAAGTGTATCCAAAGTGTAACCAAAATGTAACCAAAGTGTAGTCAAAGTGTAACACAAGTGTAGTCAAAGTGTAACCAAAGTGTAACAAAAGTGTAACCAAACTGTAACCAAACTGTAACCAAAGTGTAGTTAAAGTGTAACCAAAATGTAACCAAAGTGTATCTAAAGTGTAACCAAAGTGCAACTAAAGTGTAGTCAAAGTGTAACCCATGCTCCTGGTCCTAAAATACCCATGCTCTTGGTCCTAAAATACCCATGCTCCTGGGCCTAAAATACCCATGCCCCTGGGCCTAAAATGCCCATGCCCCTGGGGAAAAATTCTACAAACTGACACATAAGCAAACAAAATCAAATGATTATAAAATTAAATAAATTTCATTTATTTCAATCTAAATTTGTCTTTTAGTAGTCCATAAGTATGATAAACAATTTCACAAGGAGAAAATTGTCTTAGAAATGGTCTAAAATAGCTTAGTAAAAGGTCATTTATAGGACCCTGATTTTTTCATAAAATATAAAAGCATTGGCCTTGGCTTGGACTAGGGGTAGACTTTGTCTTGTTAATGCTATTCCCAAAGTACACATCAATAGCACTAGAAGTTGAAGTCAATCGATTGTCATTATCATTGTCCGTTTGCTTTATTTTATGCCTTTTTCAAAACACAATAATAATCCTTTGAATTATTTACATTGGTTTGGGTACTTTAGAAAAGCAATAATTGATGGACTGCATTCAAGTTGTGTAAAAGAAATATTAGAGCAAGGTATGCCAAACTTGAATTCATAAACAGGACAAAAGATTTTGACTTTTCTGCTTAGAGCCTTCATCAGAAAAATAAGACAAAAAGAAGTATAACAAGTATCAGATCACAGTAAAAAATAACTTTAGAGATTTATTTTCGTCACCTCTATGCATCCAAAATATCACCAAAACATAACAAAAACAATGCATCTATAGGTGTGGCCATTACTGTCTCAAGTCACTTGATATTCCCTGAACTCAGTGTTTACAACACATTTTATACACTGACTGTCAATATATGGTAGGGTTTGGGAGACCGATATATCGCTCTGTCAGAGTTTTTATTTTTAATGTGAAGACCAATAAAGTGGGATTGCGGCATCAAAGGGTTAATCTGTGTTGTTTTATTTACACAAATTGTTTGTGTTTTAGTAATGTAAATGGGAAAAGTGTGATCAAATGCACTTCTTAAAAAAGTTCAAAAGAATCAAATTTATTTTGTTATTATTATATTCATAAAAAAAGCTTCTTATGATTTAATTATCTTGGCTTCTGCAGATTCCATTCTTTGAAGACATGGCCTGCATAGCTTTACAATACATGGATACTTTGTATCAAAGGGAAAACAAGGAGAAATCCAATTTTTTTCAAAAGGCTTCCCAAAGTTATTGAGCGTCTTCCAAAAGTAATTTTGTTGTCTATCGAACTTGGAATCAATATCACCCATGCTGTGTTTAAAATCCTGCATGACACATCCCATATTTTTCAAATGTGAAGCATGAAAAATCTATAGATGTTTCTGATTTTTTCATTTGACCAGCGAGTCAGCCAGTATAGAATCCTACCAGCCCTCTTTAAAGAGGGGGTCAACGCCAACATGGTGCCCTTCATCTTGCCCTGTATTTTCCAAATCTCTAAGATGTCATCAACAGAGGAGTACCGGGCACTTGTGCTTCCAGAGCTTATACCATTTTTCAAGATCAGGGAACCTATTCAGGTACTTTATTTTAAATCTGGCTGGTTCACTCCCCCTGGGTAGGGGTTGCAGTTCAAGAACGAACTCTTTGGGTTTTTACCTGCATCCTTCAAACTTATTTTCCTCATAGATTAAATAGTTTTTATAGGCTGTAGGATGGGCCTAAGAATTAATGCCTTAAGTGTGCTGAAAAGCATAGTACTTTTTTTGTAACAAAAGTGTAACCAAAGTGTAACAAAAATGTTACAAAGGCGTAGCTAACGTGTAATTAAAGTGGAGCCAACAAGTAACCAAAGTGCAGTCAAAGTTTAATAAAAGTGTAACTAAAGTGTAAATTAAGTGTAACAAAAGTTTTAGATAACTGTGGCCAACCAATATTCAAAGTGTAACCAATGTGTAAACAAAGTGTAGCCAAAGTGTAGTATAAGTGTAGCCAAATTGAAACCTAATAGTAACCAAAAGGTAGCCAAAGTGTAACCAAAGTGTAAATAAAGTGTAGCCAAAGTGTTACAAAAGTGTAGCAAAAGTGTAGTTAAAGTGTAACCAAAGTTTAACTAAATTGTAGCTAGAGTATAAACAAAGTGAAATCAAAAGGTAGCCAAAAGGTTGACAAAGTGTAACACAAGTGTAAGCTAAGTGAAGTCAAAGTCTTGCAAAAGTTTAGCCAAAGTGTAACCAAAGTGTAGCCAAAGTGTAACTACAATGTAACTAAAATGTAACCAAATGGTATACAAAATGTAACCAAAGCGTATTGAAAGTGTAACTAAAGTGTTGTCAAAGTGCAATCACAAACTAAAATGTAGTCAAGGTGTAACCAAAGTGTAGCAAAAGTGTAACCAAAGTGTAACCAAAGTGTAGTCAAAGTGTAACCTAAGTGTAACTAAAGTATAACGAAAGTGTATCCAAAGTGTAACCAAAGTGAAGCAAAGTTTTACTTATAGTGTACCTAATGTGTAGCCAAAGTGTAGCAAAAGTGTAGACAAAGTTTAGACAAAGCATAACCAAAGGGTAGCCAAAGTGTAGCCAAAGGTTAACCAAAGTGTCACCATAGTGTCACCAATGTGTAACTGAAGTGTAAACAAAGTGTAACTAAAATATAACTAAAGTGTAACCAAATTCTAGCCAAAGTGTAACCACAGTTTAGTAAAAGTATAATAAAAGTTTAGCTAAAGTGCAACCAAAGTGTAAACAAAAAGTATCCAAAGTGTGACAAAAGTGCTTCCGTAGTGTAACCTACATGAAAGCCAAAATGGTGACAAAGTGTAACGAAAGTGTATCCAAATTGTAATTAAGTGAATCAAATGTGTAGCCAAAGTGTAACAAAAGTGTAACAAAAATCTAAGAAAATTGAAACCAAAGTGTAGACAAAGTGTTACCAATGTGATTTCAAAATGTAGCCAAAATGTATCCAAAGTGCAATGAAAAAGTAGTCAAGTGTAGCCAAAGTGTAGCCAAAGTGTAACCAAAGGTTAACCAAAGTGTAACAAAAAGGTAACCAAAGTGGAGTCAAAATGTAGTCAAAGTGTAGTCAAAGTGTAGTCAAAGTGCAACCAAAGTGTAACCAAAGTGTATCCAAATTGTAACCAAAGTGTAACCGAAGTGTAGTCAAAGTATAACTAAAGTGTAACCAAAGTGTAGTCAAAGTGTTACCTAAGTGTAACCAAAGTGTAACAAAAGTCTAACCAAAGTGTCTTAAAAAAGTATAACAAAAATGTAATAGACTTTTAACCTAGATGTAAATAAAGTGTAGTAAAAGTGCTACCAAAATGTAGCAAAAGTTTAGCCAAATTATAGCGAAAGTGTAAGGAATTTGTAAAAAGTGTAACTGAAGTATAACGAAAGTATAATCGAAGTTAAAACAATGGGTAGCCAAAGTGTAACAAAAGTTTTGAAATGTGTAACCAAAATGTAACCAAAATGTTAGCAAAGTGTAGCCAAAGGGAATCGAAAGTGTAACTAAAGTGTAAACAGAGTGTAACCAAAGTGTAATCGAAGTAAAAACCAAAGTGTAGCCAAGTAAAGCCAAAAGGTAACCAAAGTGTAGCCTAAGTGTAGCCAATGTATACTCAAAGTGTAAACAAAGTGTAACTAAAGTGTTACCAAAATGTATCTAAAGTGTAACCCAAGTGTACCCAAAGTGTAACCAAAGTCTAACCAAGGTCTAAGAAAATTAAAATCAATGTATAGCGAAGGTATAACCAATGTAAAGTTAAAATGTAGCAAAAGTGTAGTCAAAGTATAGCCAAAGTGTAGCTAAACTGTAACCAAAGTGTAACCAAAGGGTAACTAAAGTGGAACCAAAGTGTAACAGGTGTGTAAAACATGTGTAACCAAAGTGAAGCCGAATTTTAGCCAAAGATTAACAAAAGTGTTGGCAAAGTGCAAACGAAGTGTAGCCAAAGTGTTGCCAAAATGTAGAAAAAGTGTAACCAAAGTGTAGTTAAAGAGTAACCAAAGTGTAACCAAAGGGTAACTAAAGTGTAACCAAAGTATAACATTTGTAAAACATTTGTAAGCAAAGTGTAGCCATAAATTAACCAAAGTGTAGTAGAATTGTAACCAAAGTTTAGCCAATTTGTAACCAAATGGTAACCAAAGTGTATCTAAATGGCTACCAAGATCCAGTTAAATTGTATTCAAAGTGTAACAAAAGTGTAAGTAAAATGTAACTAAACTGTAACCAAAGAGTGGCTAAAGTGTATCCTAAGTGTAACTAAATTGTATCGAATGCGTAACAAAAGCGTAGCCAAAGTTTAATAAAAGTGTAGCCAACGTGAAACCAAATTTTAGTCAAAGTGTAGCCAACGTTTAACCAACGTGTAACAAATTTAAATGTATAGACAAATAGTAGAAAAAGTATAGCCAAAGTTTAACCAAAGTGTAACCAAAGTTTAGTCTATGTGTAAGCAAAGTGTAAGCAAAGTGTAAGCAAAGTGTAAGCAAAGTGTAACCAATAAGTAGCCAAAGTGTAACCAAAATGTAGCCAAAGTGTAACCTACGTGTAACCTAAGTGTAACCAAAGTGTAACAAAAGTGTAACAAAAGTGTTACAAAAGCGTAGCTAAAGTGTAACCAAAGTTTAAAGTGGAGCCAACATGTAACCATGGTGTAGTCAAGGTGTAGCCAAATTTTAACCAAAGTGTAACAAATGTGTACTCAATTGTAGACAAAGTATAGCCTAAGTAACTAAAATGTAACCAAAGTGTAACTAAAATGCAACTAAAGTGAAACCAACCGGTAGCCAAAGTCACACAAAATTGTAGTAAAAGAGCAACCAAAGTTTAGCCAAAGTGTAGCTAAACTATAACCAAAGTGTACCCAAAGTAGAGCGAAAGTTTAACCAAAGTGTATCCTAACTGTAGTCAATGTCTAGTCAAAGTTTAACCAAATCGTGACGAAAATGTAGCACAAGTGTAGCTAGTCAAAGTTCAAACAAACTGTGACAAAAGTTTAGCACAATTTAACAAAAGTGTAACCAAAGTCAAACAAAATTGTCATTAAAGTGTAACCAAAGTGCAGTCAAAATACTCCTAGAATGTAGTCAAAGTTTAACCAAAGTGTAGCCAAAGTGCACACAAGGTGCAGCCAAAGTATACTCAAATTGAAACAAAATTGTAACCCAAGTGTAACTAACATTCAAACAATGTGTAACTAAAGTGAAGCCTAAGTGTAACCAAAATGTATCCCAATTGTATAAAAAGTGTAATCAACGTAAGCAAAAGTGTAACAAAATTATTGCAAAAGCTTAGCCAAAGGGTAAACCAAAGTGTAACCCAAAGTGTAGCAATTGTTTAGCTAAAGTGTAACAAAAGTGTAGACAAATTGTAGTCAAAGTGTATCCAAAGTGTAACCAAAGTGTAGCCAAAGGGTCCAAAAGTATAACAAAAGTGTAAACAAAGTGTTACCAAGGCGTAAACAAAGGGTAACCGAAATGTAACCAGTGTAGACGAAGCGTAACCTAATAGTATCAAAGTATAACCCAATTGTAACCAAATTCTAACAAAAGTGAAGCCAAATTGTAGCCAAAGTGTTACTAAATTGTAACCAAAGAGTAGCCAAAGTGTAACAAAAGTGTAGTAAAAACGTAACCAAAATGTAGACAAAATGTAACCAAAAAGAATACAAAGTGTAGTCATAGTGCAGCTAAAGTGTAACCAAAGTGTAACATAATTGTAGCCTAAGTGTAGATAAAGTGTATCCAATTTAAACAAAAGTGAAGCCAAAGTGTAGCAAAAGTGTAACCTAAGTGTAACAAAAATGTTGCCAATGTGCATGCAAAGTGTAGCCAAAGTCTAACCAAATTGTAACCAAAGTATAGCCAAAATGTAAGCAAGGTGCAGTCAAAATGTAGCTGAAGTAAAGACAAAATGTAACAAAATTGTAACCAAAGTGTGAACAAATTGTAACCAAATTGTAAACAAAGTGTAACAAAAGTGTACTAAAAGCGCAGCCAAAGTGTAACCAAAGTGTACTAAAAGCACAACTAACGTGTAACCAAAGTGTAGCCAAATCTTACCGAAGTGTATTGAAATTGTAGCCAATGTGTTGACAAAGTGTAGACAAATTGCATCCAAAGTTTGGAAAAGTTATATTCAAAGTGTCACCAAAGTGTATACAAAGTTTAGCCAAAATGTAACCAGACTGTATCCAAAGTGTAGCCTAAGCGTAACTAAAGTATAACCAAAGGGTAGCAAATTGTAACCAAATTGTAGCAAAATTGTAATTAAAGTGTACCTAAAGTGTAGCACTAGTGTAGCCAAAATGTAATCAAAGTGCAGTCAAACTGTAGCCAAAGTTTAACCATGGTGTAGCCTACGTGTAACCAAAGTGTAGTCAAAGTTTTGCCAAAGATTAACAAATAAGTAGCCAAAGTGTAAACAAAGTATAACTAAAGTGTAACCAAAGTGTAATGAAAGTTTAACTAAAGTGTAACAAAACGGTAGCCATAGTTTTTACAAAGTGTATCTAAAGTGTAACCAAAGTTCATCCAAATTGTAAACAATGTGTAGCCAAAGTGTAGCCAAATGT